AGCATTTAATTTTTTTTATATGTATAATATTCGTGTAGGTTATTATTGCTCCTTATACAGTTTCTATATATCGGAGCGTGTTATGAGCTGATGTCAACAGCACTAACTAACGCCAGCTAGCTGATATCAGCTGCTGACGAGTATGCGTTGCGTTTTTTTTAACGGATTTGCAGTATAAAAACCAAAGTTTCAGTAATCTTTCCATTGGGTATGTTTGGATGATATCTCGTTTTTATACTGTAAATGCGTTAAAATAACAAAACGCATACTCGCAGCAGCTGACGTTAGTTAGTGGTGCTAACATCAGCTCATAACACCCTCTGCTATATATACAATATTTTTATGATATAGTAAAGTTTTGAGCACGCCTATGAATGGAACATTTGAGTGGGCATGGAACAATTTTGAGCCAGGGAGGAGACACAAGCTATAAACTACAAATCCAAACAGCAAAAATTCCTCTATCCCTATAATCTACAAATCCCACTAACAAAAACAAAGCATACACAGAAGATCCGCACATAGCAGACGGCAATTAAAGTAAAACAAGAATCCTTTTTCACGAGTCTAACCCCTATCTTTTGAGCTAACTAAATTTCAGTGCTAACTTTGCATTCATTTCAACACAAATTATTTCTTGTACAAATCGCTCTAAATCCTTGCAAAACCCAAAATCCCATTCAAGATGATCAACTTATTCATTTATATTGGTGAACATCAAATGACTTGTGATAGTCATTGAAGTTTTTGGTATTTTACTCCTTCCACTAAAAAAACGTAATTAAAAATCAAAATAATGCATTGGACATTCGGTTACGACTCATAACACATTCGACAATAAATAATACGTGCATTTCTGCTCGAAATCAGTACCACATGTCATGTCAGCGTACGTGCACTAAACAATGAAGAAAGTTTATCAAAGAGTTATTTCACCAGGTGATTAAGTGCAATTAGGGCGAGTAAAAAGAAAAATTTGAGCAACTCAACAAAAGATGTTTCCTAATAAGAAATACCAAGTAAGACTTGTTATGATTTGCATTTGCAAATTTTAGTTTTTATTTTCAACTATTCCTGGAATATATAAGTGGAACAGCTGATATTTGTTGTCATTTCACATTCCGAGTTCATAGAGCGTCATCGCTTTCCAGTGAAAGCAAACAAAATGAAATTTTATTTAAAAATAATTTTTGTTTATACATTGATATTGCTCGCACATTCTTCGCCATTATCACAAGACGATGACAAACAGTCGATGTCATCAAAAAAAGAAGATCCAACAGAATTGGCATTGGACTCATCGTTGGAGGTAGAATCAGAATTGGAATCGGAACCAGATTGGGAATCAGAAGCAGAAGCAGAAGCAGAAGCAGAAATAACAGACGTATCAGAAACAGCTTCGCAATCAACGTCAACATCTACACCACCAACTTCAACATCAACCACAACAAGGAGACCAAGACCTTCCCGTCCGCGTCCGACACGTCCAAGTCGACCGCTGGTTGAAGCGTTCACTCAACACCTTCAGAATGTGAACACCGTATTCACAGCATTTTCGTCGTTTGTGGCTACAGGATTCGGGGCTTTGAGTGGTTTAGTGGGAAGTTTAGGAGTTTCCGGTACTAGCGGAAATAGCTCAGTTTCCGGTAGCATAAGTGGATCGATTGGACGACCAGAAAAGATACCAATCATTGAACCAGTAATGGACGAAATTCCCAATCTACCTCAATTGAAAGACATACCCAAAATCTCGGATTTTGACTATATTCCCGATTTAAATGACAATGACTTTTATATCTATCGATTGGACTAAGTGAAACAGTGAAGGAATATTTTTTTATTGCGACATAGAGAAAGCCTCACTAATGAATCTTCATTAAGTAGATTTAGTTTATTTATTTGAACCAAACTTTTAAAATGTAATTTATTTGACATTTTTTGTGAAAATATAGAGAATCATGGAATAATTGTACTTGTTTTGAATGATTGTATATAATATATTCTCCTAATAAGACATCAATGATTATTACAGTTTTTGGTTGTTGAATTTTCATAGTTGTGTAGAAAAAAATTAAGAAATAATGCGCAATTTTTAAAAAGTTGTTTTTGTAACGTTTAATTATGGAAAAGTCTCGATTTTTGACACGTTTCATCGTCGAAATTAAAGTTACGAAGTCGAACTGTAATTAAACGACAGACAATTTCAAACAAGGCATTCGAAATTGCCAATATACTTGAAAAATATGCAAATTAGACAATTACAATGACGTTTGCGCGAAATTATCACCGACGATTCCTTACCAATAAATATCATTGCTTCCAAAGTCGATGCAGTAGTCTATTTCAGTCGACAAAATGATGTTCTTCAAATTAACTAGCTTATTTGGTGTTTTACTTTCGGTGATTGGTGCGGAGTTTATTCCGGGTACTCCAATGCAACCTGTTGGTGGTACGATCCAGATGGTACAAATACAACCAGTTCCGATATCACTGCATCCAGCTATAGTTCAATCTCACATGGATCATCATCTTGAAATGCGGGAATCTCACATGGCTCAAATTTTGAAAAAAATGACTAAACAAATGAACGAACTCATTGATGCTATATCTTCTAATAAACAAATGACGTCTTCTACATCTTCTCCTTCAACTGAACCGAATAATGTGTCTAATATGCCGGGAAACTCAACTGAAACGTCTGTGCCAAACGCAAACAAAGGTAAAATCGACGTTAATTTGATTTTCAATAAGTGTTTATGCTCAAATTGTTTGATTTTGTTAAGAAACCAACAATAAAACGGAAAAAAATGATAAACAAGTTGCTGAAAATAAGGAAAAAAAAGTCGTAAAGCCAAAGCCTGCAACAGAATGGGTATGTACTCAAATCACAAGAGTGAAAATAGATGAGAGTGACAATAAAGTTTCTTAAAGGTCAATGCGCATCATAAATTTTGCTTCCGATGAAAAATGATTTTCATATCTCTATTGCAATGGGTTTTTTCTTTCAATTACAGGCTAAACCAGTGCCACGGTTTACAATAACTCACGATAATGGGGCACCTTTGTATCACATCTACTAATTTTATAAATTTATTATCTTTGATGATGATAATGAAAATAATAAAATCATTATTACTTGCTACCGGTGAACGTGTATACACTTAAATTTCATCGTGTTTTAGTTCATAGTTTTAACCCGCAAGCGATTATTGCTCAGTAAAAAATGGGAGAAAATAAAGCAATTCTGATGATTGATCGCTCGCAATTAATATCATCACTTTTTTCGCTCTCACTCAGTCAAAATGTTTTTTTTTCAAATTTGATTTAATTGGATTCCTTTTGAATGGGCAACGTAAAAATAAACTCGGCTATTTAGCCGAGAAAAAAAGAGAAAAAATTCTAAAATGCCATATGTTAAATATGAGAGTGTCAAAGTCAATTTGTCGGAAAGAATTGAGGAGTAAATAAGCTGTCAAATGCCCAGCAGGAACTCGTTCTTTCCACAATGCTAATTAATTAACATGATTGAAAGAAGCGCAGTGTGAGCACATCAGCATCCGAAATCGAATGTGAAAGTAAGAGTGAATTAGACTGTTTTGTCGAGCTCAAACCGAAGTGCTCAATCAAAACGAAGCAATAAATTTATCGCTTATTTCGATTCGAACGAATGATGAAAAAAAAACACCGTTTCCATCAAACACACAACGGTAGCACACTGGCTATGTGTGCAAAATCACAAAGTGAATGCTTCCAATGTGAATGCAATTACACTTTGGCAAATAATCGGGAAATGTATAGTTTATTATTCAACACATCTTCTGTCATTTTCTGAAGACTCGTTGAAAAATTACACTTTGAACGAAAGCATTTGAACATTTCACATTTTAACGAGGAGGATCAGTATGCAAATTTTGTTACTTTTTTCTACAGTTTTTTTTTCTTGTTTGAATATTCGCGCATTGCTTACTATGTTTAGCATAAAATTCACGATATTTTCCAGTGATGATATTTCTTTTTGATTCAACATTACCTTTTGAACAACGTGTATCAAACCACTACCACGTGTTACCATTTTTGAATTGCTTTCTTTGTTCCCTCAAATACAGATTGTGTTTATCAGGTTCTATATTTCACCGAACACACATTAATATCCCATAGTGATAGCGCACACAAATTATATAATAACAAAAGCCGAAAAACGATGGCGGAGGCGTGTGCGGAGGATGTGTAAATAAATTTCTAATTAAAATATGAATCGAATCGAACTGAACCGAACTGTTGGTGTTAATAACAATATAAAAAGCTGTTTTATTGCCAGCAATGAACTTTATTTATGCATAATTTATCAAGAAGAGTCGAAACGTGATATGAAATGAGCTACTGTCTGCGTGTGTGGCATACTCTTGTTGGTGCTTTTGGTGTAAAGTCTTCGTTCACTTCTTCGGCACATTTAACGTGTAGTAAAATTGTTAACCAAACGGCTGTTTTTCGTCTTCTTCTTCTTCTGCATTTCAGCTTCTTGTTTGGTAGTGAATGATTGGTTCGGTGTGTATTGAATCATAGGAAAATGAAGATATTTAATGTACAAAATTACATGATCACTTTGATTGCAAATATATCAGAAGTCTGTACGTTTCCTAACCATTTTTTTCTGTTCATTTGTTCGCTCGCTCGCTTGCTTGCTCGCTCGTCTTACGTTGAAAAGCTGTTTCTGAGCACAGAACTGCACGATGCTCATATGCGAATTATGAATATGCATTCGCATGGTACTTATAGAAAGGTGATAAAAAGTGCAGATGTAATGTATGTCAATTACGGCATTGCCTTCGAAAAATATCGGCAACGATTTGGCATTAAATCAATTTTTCGGGTGAGTTTTCGAAAACTATGTCAAACAAAATGATGCGATTGCCGTGTGTCTGCAACGCATATCACCCATCTTTCCAATTGATTCAAGTGCCATGTTATGTACATCGATTTTACTATCGTTCATTAAAGTTCATCGCGGCTATTCTTCGCTTCATTATTGTTTGCATGGTGTTGCGCTTGTAGTTGGTTGCTTCTTCTTTTCTCTCTCTCTCTCTCTCTCTCTCTCTTTCCATTTCGTTCGTGTGCTATATTTATTTTTATTAACTTATCATCAGCGTCACGACAATTCCAAAGCCACAAAATTTAAGAAGAAATTATTACATAAGTTAGCGCGCGAATGGTAACAGTGAGTCAGTTAGATTTCAATCTGACGCGCGCGGTACGGAGCAGAGTGATTGCCGAAAAAAATACAGTGTTGTTTTGGCCGGTGATCAAATGGCAAACGTTAGGTAAGATTTGTATTTGATTATTGGGCAAAAGAAAAATGCATAATGGTCAGAAAAAAAGCAGCAAACGAAAAGAAACAAAAAAAATAAGATAAAAAGAGCGTGTGGCTTTTCGTATTGTATTGTCGATGGATGGGTCGAGAATGTGGGAATGGAAAATCATGTTCAAGTGTCCTACGGAGTTATAATTCGCGCGCGCATCACTTAACCAAAATCGTTCAATAAAATCGATATCAATTTGAAAGCCACGTTTTATACCCAAACCTCGTTCAAAATCTCTAATGATGCTTTTCGCATTTTAGCTCGGTCGCTCTCTGACTCTGGTCGCGGTTAACTATGTACCGTTTTTATTTCTTCTTCGCATTGGTTCCACTCGATCTCGATAGAGCGAGAGCTGGAGTGAGAGAGAGGAAGAGAAATAGACAGAGAAGAAAAGCACACCATTGAAGAATTGTTTTGTGTATTTGCTTCTTCTTGCTGTTGATTAAATCTATTGTTTGGCCGCATCGAATTACTTTCTCGATCTCTGCCCGTTTAACAAATACCCAAATTCACACTTACATAATATTAAATGGCTATATAGGTGATATAGGACTTGCAAATCGCCATGAGACTCACTTCGTTTAATTAATTCACAACAGAATTCTTCAACCAACTTCGCTCCGAATGCGCCACAAGAATTGAAATGGCTAGACAAAGTTTTTTTTTGTCTTTTTCTCCATTAAAATTCACAATTAACGGGGAGCGCTAGACATGAAATTAAAAATCCTCAGCGAATCGTTAAACTTATGAAACATATCTTTCACCGGAAATACAATTTGTTGTCTTTCTAATGACATCGATTACCGAAATTGTGTAATTCATATTTCGACCAAATTATGAAAAAAAAAAAAGGAAGAAAGAAATACGATAGTAAACGTTCTAATGCTCAACCATCGAACTAACCTTTCACAAATACCATGATGAAAATGCCGGTAAATCATCTATCGTCATCCATTGCTTCGAATGAAGAAGATTCATGGTGTTCGCTGGAGCTGCTCGGAATCTAAGTTCACATCGTAAATCAATATAAGTATGTGTAACGGGTTCGATGATCAATGTATTTCATGATCATTTTATATCAAAGAACCTCTTGCTCTCAATCGCATATCACCGTTTCGTTGGAGTGGTGTATGCCGTGTAAATGCATCTAATTCGCGTTTTTTTCTCTCTCTGTCTCTCTTCTTTTTCGCAATTCGCAAAGTGACGCATCGTAAAACAACACGATTTATTCCACAACCTCATGAAACAAGTATTACTTCACCTTTCATCTTCTTGCATCGTACGGCTGGGAGAGTGAGCGCGCATCAGTCTATTGTTTTGTCAATCGTAGTTCTGCTATTGCATGATATACGCTATTAATACTGCACCATGGTTCTCACCTATTCTCCAATTCACACACCGCAACACTCAAAGCAAAGAAGATAAAACAACACATCAAAAAAAAAGCTAAACAAAAGCGAAGGCAAATCCAAAGCCAAACAACAAACGGCGAAGTAGATAAAAAAACTACATCGGCATCGCTAGGCGCACACGCGCACACCAGAAATTCACAAGTCTCTCTCTCGCATTCACCTCGGCGGGCCATCGAAATGCAGCCAGCGATCGCAAGAGCAACACCAAGTGCCTTCGCGCATATATGAATGCGAGCGAAATAGTGCGGCGGGTTATAAAGTTAGCGCGCAAACGATAGTGAGAGTTGATGTTCGCTATATTTACCTTTTGACGTGTGCTCTTTAACTATATACGAGCTGCTTTTGATCTGTTTCGACGTTTTGGCTGAATTGAGCGTCGTCGTCGTCGCAATAGCAATGCTCTGTGTGTCTGCGCACGAATGTGTGGCTCTTTGACTCTCTGAGAAGACTCTGACGGTGTGTGCCGTTGTGTGGTGGTTTTTTTCGTCTTTGCTTCATCTCTTCGCTTGTCGATATATTGTTTATCGTGCGCACTTTTTGATGTTGGTAATAATGATGATGGTAATGATGGTAGTTCAGCAGAAGTACGAGAGCCAAAGCATATAGACTGTCGGCGGCGGCAGCAGCTCGTACATTTGTGTATATTGTAATTTGGTACATACCGCAAAAATCTTAATCCCAACTATGCTGCTTTTTATTCGTTCCATTCGACTCTATGAGCTCGACACAGTTAAGTGCAACAGTCGCAGCATCAGTCATTCATGTATAAGTCATGCTAGTGTATAGACGTATTTTTTCAACCGCATCGTCTGACTTTGTCTATCGTTGAATTTGAAACATTCATTTTTTTTGTACGTTGTTCGTTTTTCGTACATATTGTAATTCATTTTTTTTGTCAGTTTTTTTTGGTTTTGTTCCATTGAAGAATAAGTTTAAGCGTTCACAATAAAACACTTCAATACCGTGGCTTCATTCAAATTCGCTCAGAATTCATTTTAATTGTGCGACATGTTATTTTGACGATTGTTTTTTTTTCTTCGTCTACCGTAGTCGATTCGATATTTTATTATTTTATTCGTTCGTTCGAATAACGAAGAATCTAATCGATTTTAATCGATTTCGCCATCGATTTTTCAGACGAAAAGTGGTTCGGCATGAATTGCATCTCGATTTCAGTCAAATTTCGTCATGTATAAATCATCAATTCGTATCGCTTAAAGAGTCGGTTAATTTGATCCAGCAGTCAAAAACAGTGGCTTAATTCGGAAAACAGAGAGAGAGAGAGAGAGACGAGAAAAAAAATTCGTAATAATACCATTTTTCAATTGTGCAATTAAAAGTTGTGTCTCGTGGATTTTCAATTTTGGATTTAATGACCAATAGAAGTTTTTTATTTGTCTAGTGTGAACCATAAATAAATCGTTTTGTGGTTGTTTCGATTGACCCAAAAATCGTTGGATATTTTCTTGATTACAAGTGCGACCGCAAACAGACCGATGAAATTTAGTTTGATTTGTTTTGTAATGGACACTTGATTGTAACTGCCAATTGTACCAGGCCAGAGCAATTCAAGCGTGATTGACTATCGGCATTAGAAAAAAAAACTCACATCAAACACTTCTTGTCGATTATTGGAGATATGAGTACGATTACCGGCAATTGAAACACAATTAAATATTCGAATTGGAATGAGACATTAAGTGTGGCATCAGTTGGTTTTTTTTTCTGTTATTCATTTCAAATAGACCCAAAAACAAATAACCAACATCATCAGTAAATATATATTGAGTGTTGAAAATTGGAGTTTGCTGCTCAGCAGAGAATATCCGGAAGAGGTTTTCGAGATCGAATTGGAGAAAACACCATTAGCAGGAGGCATTTATGTGCATTGCCTGATTTCACTACACACACACACACAACATTGGTTTTTTTTATATAAACGACACGTAAGTAAAACAATGTGCTCAATCATTCTGTAAAACGACTACTTATTATTAAAGTGATTAAACTCGAATAGATTCCGAAAATTTGCGGAAATCGTAAAATAATGAATAAATTCGATCTAATAAAACTGACTAAGCATTATCGCGCGGACCTGATGAAAAAAAACGAAACATAGCCAAATTGGCTACGGTGATCGCAAATGATGTATAAACAAATGTTTGTATCATTTATTTTCGAAACGGACGAAGAGAAATACAAATTGCTTTTTTCATTACAAACCCATCGATAGATGAACGTGAACATAAGCATCGAGACGAGAGCAGATGGATGATTTGAGTCAGTCAGCATGGGTAAAAAGTGAAAAGCTGCCAAAAAGAAAATATCACATTTGAGTCGGTGTAGATGATGCACATCTTTGACTTTCAAGTGTTCGGCATGTGGAAAAATTCTGCTCATTCGACGAAAAAACGAAAATACACAACCACCGTCTGCATCACATGTAAAAACTGGAGCGAAATTTTGGCGGTGCGCTCGAACGTAGAAAAAGAGTTTTTAATTGGATGATATGTTACTTATTTCCTTCGTATTAAGAGATTGGAAAGAGAAAAAAAAGTGCTAAGTAAGAGCAAATGAAAGCAAATCACATACGAGAAAAAATGGAAAACTAATGAGGCGTATCTCAAGAGATTTATACGCGAAAAATTGTTGCAGATCAATAATGCACCGTGAATTTGTGTGTGTGTTTTTTCTTCTTCTTCTACGTTGACTAATACGAGGCATTTTCAACTCATTATTCATGTATAACACTTGAAACCACAAAAATGTTGTCGAGTCGCGGCGATGAAAAATCAATGTTCATGCTTTCGGCTGGTTAAACGGCCCTTCCGACACTCTCACACACGGAAATAATGCAAAAATAAGAGCAATAACCGAACGAACCGTATTATCAGTACGAAGCTAGTTGGTGTATAAAATCAACGGCTTGGTATGTACAAAATATGTAATGAATGAGCTCATACACAAATGACGCTCCGAAACGGCGCCGAGATTATTACCAAAATCCACGAAAGCAAATAGACCACATTAAAACTAAGCCACGAAAAAAAACAACAACAACCAGACAACGAGAGTATGTGTGTATGAGAGACAGACAAAATGTACCTCCCTTTAAACAAATCAAGCAGTGTTCCGAGCAAACGCGACCACATCCGCTAATTGGTTCTGTTAATTTTTAACAGATAATTTATTTAATAATAGTGAAATGAGAGCACTAACTAAGAAAATGGCTACATGGAGTTCGTTGTGTGGCGCAGCCTTTCCGTTCACACGATTTGATCTTCAATGTGTGTCTGTTTATTTTGGGTATGGTGAACACCACGGGTCCGAATTTGTTTGTTGTTGCTGTTTTTGCTCGGGTTTCAATTGATCCCCGACTGTTTTTTAATTCTCTCTCCCTGTCGATTGAGTAAATAAAATCATTAAAATAAAGGCCTAGCTGATTGCTGGAGCTGGATATAAAAAGATCTCTCATTGAGATAGTCCACGAATCGTTAGCAATGTTTGATGTCATTATTTTCGGTATGGATCTAGCGTTGCAGACGCTCTGCTATGCTCTCAATATTTATTTCAAAGAAGCTCTCGATAAGCATAGGTTTATCGACGTAACATATCATCCGAATCAATTGACGCAAGATTTTTTTTTGTATTGGACGATTTTTGCAAAACCTTAACGCTGATGTTCGTGCCATTTTTTGCGAGCATTCAAACGAAATGCATTTTTATTTTTAATCCAAACGAAATGGGATTGACCACATTTCAAGCGCGATACGAGTTCAAATGTGAAAGTAAAACGCATCGCACACTCAAATGAAACTAGTATATATCGAAGGCTATTTTCAGTATTGCGAATGGCGTGCTTGGATTTTGGCTCAACCGTCGTCATCATCTTCCCATAGTGTTCTCTTTATACAATGCTCGAATGAATGTTCGTTCGTTTGGTAGTATCGCCAATCAGCGAGCTGCTTTCTTAAATAAATCGCATACACAACTTATTGGATCTGTTTTCACATATGAAGGAGACGATATCCATGAATAGCGAACCGTCGATTGCGATGCATTTCGCACCCAAAGAATATCATGGCTTTGGTTTTTCTTCTCTTCTTGTTCACACATATTGATCACTGAATACAACGCAAGCAGTTAGTCATTATTGGTCACATACGTCATTTCGATTCACCTAGAAGTAATCGCGATTATTTTATATTTTCCTTGACATTTTTCATACGTACCACATCAATGAACGGATGGTGTGCAGAGTGTTTTATCCGCTTTTATTTCATGTATATATGTTTAAATATTATATTTAAAATTGACGCGGCGGATGGTTGGCGATGTGTATGACTTGACGTTGAACATGCTGTTTATTACAGGTCACGTTTCGATGTTACTTCTAGCGATTTTGGTTTTCCACTTGATTAGCATGGTTATGTTGTGTATTTGTGGTTTGGGAGCCTTCATTTTAGCCTTCCTTCAATTAAACTCGATTTGTTAGCTGAAACATATCGGCTTGTTGATCTTAATGAAAATGTCTGTTTCGGGGCTGTTGTGATGTCTGTCGGATTCTATGATTTATATTAAGTGATTTTGATCCATTGAGTCAAACCACGTTGAACTCTGAACTCATTTGCCAACAAATGTAAGGTGTTTTTTTCATGAGTTTTCGAAAAAAGAAAAGAAAAGAAGGACTGTCGACACGATTATTATCGTTACAAATATACTAGCATGAGACATCCATTACTCATTTCAAATTAAACAAACATTCACGCGCCTTCGAAAAAAAGTGAAATTATATAATCGGGATATTCCTAGCTGGAAGTCTTTTACATAATTATTTTTGGTTTATCAGCTCCAAATCTAATCTGCGTCATCTTTTTTTTTCTTCTCCTTCGCAATATCTGTATGTGAGTGTGAGTGTGCTTTTTTATTTTTCATGTTCCAACAATACGGTTGGTCTTCTCGAATTTGGTGTGATTGTTGAATTAAATAATCATTCATTTTTCCCTTTGCTCATTGAGTATTGAGGTAACGTGAGAACAGCTCTACATTTTTCTCACTCATTTGAAATCGACTTTTGCAGCGATTTCTGTAATAATAGAGTAGGTGTAATTACTTGTGTGTGTGTGTTTGTATCATGATCTACGAAAAAAAAGAGGCAAATTATTTTAGTGAAGTGATTAAAAATTACAAAATTTTACATTTTCAAAACTGTGTGCCTGGAGCCCGAACCAACCGCTGCTCAGTTCCTTTTCACTATTTTCTTTCTATGCATTTGTCAATGAAATGCTCGCGTTTCGTCGCGTCTCGTGAGTGCACGATGAGCGTGCGCGACTTACACCACGACAATAGCCAACATCAGCTTCTGCTTGATTTTAATTTGCCGGAAACATAGAGTCTCTCGCATAGCTCGACGATGTGGAAAAAGCGCACGATAGAAAATTCAAATCCGATGCGGTCATAATGGTGTTCCATTGGAAATGTAATTGCCACTACATTTTTGTGTCGCTTGTAGTGTCATGTTTTGGCCGAGACAGTAATGGCTTTTACATGAAGAGGAATTCCAAAATTAATGTTCGATTGAACATTGCTTTAATTCTTGTAATGAAAGTTCCACGATCTCAACACGTTGGAATGGGAAAATGTGGATGGATGGGTCCGACCATAGCGCCGCCGCCGTTGTCGCTTTATCTTTTAACGCTGGAAAAACAAAAGAATTTGCATCGGCTTTATTCGGATAAATTGGGATTTAATTTCCTTTCGTACAGATATGTCACGTATATATCACAAAACAATGAGCGCATTTAAATATTTCACACATTTGTTGAAGCTCTTTTCATCAGCCCCAAAACTCTTCATACCGATATCATCGTTCGGAGGCACATCGAGTTAATTTTTCATTATCTAAAATGGCATAGCATCGTGAGCGGCATTTTTATTTTCTGTATATTATTTATCCTATGATATTAAACATTCAATTAAAATGAAATATGCTCCGGCCAGAATGGGAGTGAATGTGTGAGCTTTTCAACTTTGCATCGGCTACGGTCACGTTATTCCATTCCATTGATACTGTTTTATATTTTATGTGTTTTTTTCTTTTGTTGTGTTATTTTTTTCTCTCTTCATTTTCTTCGCCTTTGTTGTGTTCTTCCTCATTTTATTCCTCGTCTTTACATTAAATGGTTGGATAATGTTATTTCACTTAAATTCGCAGTCACCCAGATCAAAGAGATAATTGAAGATGAAGAAGACAAAGAGAAACACATAAATTTGGCCACCACGACTCATAGACTCGCAGCCAGCGTAGACAGTCTCTCTGAGAGAGAGAGAGAGAAAGAGAGAGAGAGAGAAAATGCAGTGCGAGCAAAGCGTTTGTTTCAATTTCCATGTTATACACGGCGCTTTCTTCGTCTTCGACCATCATTAAAGCACTAATGTTCATCCAAAGTGTGGTAGTGAAATAAAAATCACTTGCACACAGCGAGCTCGCACGATTCCTATTTCCATTTTTCTCGGGCAGATTTATTATTTGTATCAATCATATATTTTGATGTCTTATGATTTATGTGAAGCGTCGACGTCTATCGCATCAATCACACAGATCAGCAGCAGCGCTGGCTGCATGGGTCATACAGCCACACAACGGCAACATGATGTTCAGTCAGACATTGTTTGGACTTTTAATTTTGCGTCACTTCTGTGGAATAAAATTTATGATAAACACTGTGGTCGCATCATAAAAAACGATCGGGTGGGTGCGCATCTATTAAGTGGGCAATTAAAAATGATAAATGTTTAATTGTTATTAGTAATTTTTCTTTCGTTGGCCCATGGAAGTTATCACATTGATGCACCATATTATTAGCCGAAAATGAATGCTGGTAGCGGTTAAATGTTATGGATTTTTCACACCATAAACCATAAGTTTATACTCAATCGTAATGGA